AACACCAAATTTTAATATTATGTCTTCGTGCTTCGTGCACTATAAACTTTGTGCGCAAGCGGCAACCGGCGATGTGCATGCAACCGCGCCATAGAAATGATACTGTACTAGGGACATTTTAACATGCCGTTTATATTTTACCTTTATACCTTTATATATAACCACTTTAAGCCAATGTGTAACCTTTGAAACACCCATCTGAAACGTCATGTGTCAATGAGTAACAATATAACTACCTCCGAAAGTTGGAAGCCAATGTAGAACAATAAAACACAACTTTCTTTGGTGATAATATTGTTACCCATTGACACTCAAGGTTTCTGATGGCTCGTTTCAAGGTTTCACATTGGCGCCCAAGTTTTCTGAGGGGTAATTCTGGTTACACACTGGCGCTCTACTTTGAGCTTACGATTAGGTTCGGTCTTGTTCTGTGCGGTCTTTAATTTCTACAGTTGTATCTCAGCTGAAATTGATATTACTGCCGAGATACACAAGTTTTTCTACTCTGTACGGTATCTCCGACTTTTATACCGTCATCCTGTATATAGTTTTTTTGCTAACTATCATATATTTTTTTTATTAACATTTTCTCTGAAACATCCAGAATTCTCCAAAATATCCTAGACGACGCGCAAAAGAGCTTTGAGATCATCGTATTGGCTCTAGACCTAGGATACAGCCGCCAATATTTGAAACAAATCTACCAGACTGAAGTGAAAGTGTGTATCCAAGGCTCCAACGAATCTATGCCAGAATACAGATCAGTTATTACTTATATAGTACATGCTATACTTGATGCATACTTAGATACTATACCTTATATTTGTACTACAGTAAATAGTAACAAAAATAAAACAGAATATAATTTGATCAACTTTTGGCGAATTCACCAGAGTCGCCTTCACCAAAATTTTCAAAACAAACCCGGCTGTTTTTCAGATCATTTGACCATCTCACCTTTGTTTTGTTGATGATCCAATTATTTCTTTTCCTGTCTATTGATTGACTGGTGATTAATATATTGTCTGTTTATGTTGTGTACTCCAGTTGTCCCAATGCAGTTATATAAATATATTTTCTACCTATGGCTTGAATAGTTTAGGTAATATTCTATTTTCAAGTGTTACTCTCTCATTCGTTTTAACGGACTCCACTTGTTTCATTAATTTAATATCTGTTGTTGCTTTACCATATTAGTTTCAGTTAGTATATCTACAAGTATAGTCTATTCTTCAATTCAGCAAAAAGTTCTTTATTGCCCACTATTTCTCTACTTTCAAAGACTTTTTTGAAATCTATTACGGCCATGTATCGCAGGATCTGCTATTTCTTATTTTTTTTTTAATTATTATTTTTCTCGTTAGCAGATCGTCACTTGACTAAAGCTATTTTAAAACGAACCTGCTTTCTTGTCTGATAATTTCTTATTTCTTTTCGAGAACTAGAACTTTTTTTAATTTCTCATCCTTAAATCAATTTATGAAACTAAGTATCCCGCTGTGGCATTGTGCATTAGTAAACCTTGGCTGATGGGAGTGGCTGCCAGAACATCCTTGGCTATGGTTGTCCCGATCAATGATAAATTTGTTTGTACTTCCAAATACTGCAAAACTAAAATACTGCAAAATTTTCCTAATCAGCATTCCTAGTCTAGAAACTGCCAGCACTTTTTAAACTCTTATTCACTAATGACTTTTATACCTACAAAAACTGCTGGCACTAGTTCACTTGTTTGGATGTTCATTTTCTAATAGCCAGCAACAGATAGCCACCTTCTCGGCTGTCAACAATCCAGCAAACATTTAAATTCTCCTTCCACTTTTTTTCTTCGACCAATGATCTTAGAGTCCTTCAAAATTCACTCAAATTCCCGAGTTCTTGAAATTGCCAGTCAACTTTCCCAATTTTATGTTTGATAAATAAACTAACAGTGGACCTTTATAATTGGTTTTCTACAAAATTTCCAGTGTTTTCAAAATCGATACGAGGTAAAATAAAAGAATAATACACCGTTAACACAAAAGAAATTGATAAGAAGAAAAATGAACCTGATAATTTGATTCTCATTATCTTTATTTTTAGGTGATGCTGAGTAAGATGTATGGAATGACGTTCAGGAAACAGATAAATTAGATTTTGATGAATATCCTACATATTCTAAAATAAATATTCAATGTGAAAATATGAGCCCAATGGATATTTTTCGTCTACTTGTCGCAGATGAAATTTTGGAATTAATTGTTCAAGAAATCAATAGATATGCAGAACAAGAAATTGGTGTACACAGTATCAAACAAAAATATAACAGTAAGCGGGTTCCGACTAATAAAGAAGAAATTAAAAAAATCTTTCGTATCGTGATCTGAATGAAATTCGTTCCTAATATTCGGTTTTATTCGATTATATTGGTCCAAAAATGACCTTTAATAATAAGTTTGTCTCCTCAATTCAGTATCTACGGAATCTACATTTTCAAAATATCGACGGTATACTAGAAAGCAACGATAAATTATACAAAATCAGACATGTTTTATACTTACTTAATGACAGATTCATGGAAATTATGACTTCAGGAAGGAATGTAGTCATAGACGAAAGTATGGTACCATGGTGTAGTCGTTTGAGTATGCGACAATACATAAAAAACAAACGCCATAAATATGGCGTTAAATTATATAAACTATGTACCGTCAGTGAATATACCTATAAAGTAATGGTTTACTGTAAAAAAGAAAACAATATGATAAGCAATAGTCATTCTCAGAAAGTTGTGCTGACCTTAATGAATAGCTTGTTAGATGCCCTACGAATTTTATATGCTGATAAATTTTGCTGATAAAATCTATTAGATCTTCAAATTTTTTATTGTGGGACTCTTAGAAGCAATCGAAAAGGCATTCCAAAGGGAATAGTTCAAAAGAAACTAAAGAAAAATGAAATAATTGGCATCAAAAATAAGGGCAATATAAAGGTAATCCGTTTGCAAGACAGGAGATCGGTATTAATGATATCGAGTAAACCTGAGCATACCCTAAACTTCTGTAATACGGGCAGAAAAAAGAGATCAAAACCAGTGAAATATATTTTTAAACCGTAAGTTATCCAAGACTACAACAAAGCTAAAAAAGGTGTACATTACAGTGACCAAATGGCAGCTTATTATTCTTCCTTACAAAAAGGTCTTAAGTGGTATCGTAAGGTAGTCTTCGAACTAATCTTTGGTGCTATAATAATCAACAGCTAGATTAGCTATAATAAAACAAATATCGAAAAAAAGATACCAATGTCAACATTTCGTGAACAGTTAGCATTACAACTTTCAAATCAAAATGAGTGTATTTCTGAAACCAACTTATTAAAACGAAAACATTGTCTGCTACGAGAAGAAGGTTCTGGTAGAAAACGTAGACGAAATTGAGTTGATTGTTACAAGAACTTGAGACAGACTATGAAAAGTAAGGAAGCTGACAAGAACGTGACTAAAGTAAACACTTTTGTGAAAATTGCGAAAATAAACCGGCTTTGTGCTTAACTTGTTTTAATGATAGACATATCTAATTATTAATTACTATTTTAACTAATATATATTTTTGTACACTTAAATATTACTTCAAATAAAAATTGATCATTTTATTTATTTTTTAAAAGTAAAATATTCCAAACTGCCTCATCAGTATCAGTATATTTTTTTTTCTTCAAACGTCAAGTAATGATGACATTACTTACCTAACTTGACCCTGTCAAAGTTTGATATCTCCGCCGGCAGCAGTTTATTTTCCCATTTCTTTACGGCGGAGGGAAAAATGTTGTCATAGCAACAATATGAAACATGTCACAAAGCAACAATACAAATTTCATTAACAACAATTAAACATCATTTTTATTTATAGTAATATTAAAAGTACAATTAGTTAATGAGGCGTTTTCAAAATTGAAACCGTACAAAAATGTTCCCGACTCTTGAAACGCATTGGTAAATTAATAATTGCAAACAACTATCAAACAACTGTAACCAGAGAGACGCAAATCCCACCGACGACTTAATTATTTTAATTTCTAACAGTTAGACGACTTTGATTGTTGTCACAGTTAATTTCGAGTAAAAATAGCGTATGAATTGTACTATTTATGGTTGAAAATTGCTACGTTTGAAGAAAAAAATAGTATACTTTATTCGGCAAAGAACCGACTTTTCTTGACTTGCCCTCTATTACGCGCCTCATTTTGTTCGGCGCGTAATATCGGGCGCGTCAAGAAAAGTCATGCTTCTCCGCCTCATAAAGTAATATACTATTATATACCGTAAATACTTTACCGGACATCGGAATCTGGTGCTGTGGCTGCCAGAAATGGATTACAATGTTTAACTATGAGATGGCAGTGTTAGATTCAAGGTAATTTTAAATATAAAGTCACAGAAAAGTTTATTTATAGATATGTTTACCAGACCCACAGGTCTGGTATCGTCCAAAAAGTAGACATTGTTACCAGATACGGGGATCTGGTAACGACTGTAAATGTTACTGACAAATTTAATGCCGTCGTGAATCTGTTAATCGCTTATATTATTGTGTTTAATGTAATAAAAAAACAGGTAAGTGGTTTTTTCTCATAATTTTGGCTAAAGAGACAGAATTGTTTATTTTAATATTCATATTTTAAATCTAAAAACTGTCCTAAATTTAACATTTTACACATATTAATCTATTTATTTATATCACTTTTAAAACAGAGAAAATAAAAAAAATGTGAATATAATTTATTTTCCTTACAATTTCTTCCGATTTATAATTGTTATAATTTTTCTAGTTATTCTTTTTATAGTTATTCCTACTTCTCTCTGTATTTTTTTATTTTTCTATATTTCCGAATCACAACCAATAAAAATTAGTACAAAGCAAAAAACAACGTGATATTATAGCGATTTGTTTATTTAAAATGACAAGAAAATATAGTTATTAAAATACATAACCACTAGGTAATTAAGAAATAACTCTTACCTGCACAAGCTAAGTGAGTAATAAAATAATTCATTCTACTCTTCCTCGATCTTCCTATAGTTAATGTATAAATAACTCCTAAATTCCCAGCTACTATCACAATCAGTAATAACCATAATACTGTAAATTGTTCTACCTAAAACAAAATTTTGTTTAAGAGAAAATAAACAGCAGAAAAGTAAAAATATGCAAATTTCATATTATTTAAATCATGACCAAATAATCTGTCCTCCACACCCCACCCTACTTTCTATTCTCATTTCATCTTAACCTTTACTAACAACCCTCTATTACAGCAGTTATGCCAACGATGCAACTACATAGACTAAAAAGACTGACAGTCGGGAAATCTGAGCATCAAGGTCACGTGCGATAAGTAAGCTCAGTGGCCAGACCTTTCGGATATTCAGTCGGCGAAGAGAACATGTTTTATCTCGACATATCGTTTTTTTTTCAGCATATTTTACTGGTCTTTTTTTGGGACTCTTCTCCTGTGGTAAAGCTTCAATCCTAATGATAAATGGCTTCGTAGGGTTAGCCTGACATAGTATAGATGAGTGAGTCAATAGTTGTTTCAATTCGATGAAGGCATTTTCTTGGAAGCAACCCCATTTCTAATAGATCTCTTGCGAGTGAGTTGGCTTAAAGGTCTGAATATTTCTGCAAGTTTGGCACAAATCTTTAGAACCAAGAGCAGGTTTATAGAAAACTTAGAAAGTGTTTTACATTTTGAGGAGCACGTATATCCTTAATTGCAGCTATCTTGTCTAGGAAGGAGGGTAAATCATCTTGATTTAACAATATGTCAAATATATTTTACCTTATTGGTGCTGAAAACATATTTAGCACGATTACCGTGAAGTTTAAAAATTTTTAGTCTTTTAAAAACATCATCCAAATCCAAGATGGCTTTCTAAAGTAGGAGACATTATTATAAGTCATCCAAATAAGCAATCATAGAGACATGTGGCAAGCCTGATTTCAAAACGTTAAATAAGCCGTTGAAATGTAGCTGGTGCTGTCCTTTATCCAAAGGGCGTAGCAATATATATTTACCAAAAGAAGTGATAAACGATATTTTATCTCGTGTGTTCCTTCTTCACTGGTATCTGGTAATATCCACTTTTTAAATCCAATGTGACAATGAAAACAGCCTTGGCAGTAGAATAAAGTAAATCATCATTTATAGGTAATGGATATTGAATAGTAACAGTAATACTGTTCAAACTCCTATAATCCACACAAAGTCTTATGTCTCCACCAGATTTTGGAACTAACACCAATGAGAATGCATAAGGGGACACACATTCTTCTGTGTGATAGAATGATTCTATCTTTTAAAATGTCATCTTCTAAAAAAACGCAGATTTTTCTTCTGAGCAGCTGCAAGAAGATAAGGAGGTTGAAAAATTGGATTATCATCTGTTAACTGGTCTGCTTGGCAGTAGAATGAAGTAAATCATCAATTATATGTAATGAATATTGAATAGGAACAGTAATACTGTTTAAACGCCTATAATCAACACAAAGTCTCATATTTTCACCAGGTTTTGCTCTTAACACCACTGAGAATGCATAAGGGAACACACATTATTCAATGATTCTATCTTTTAAAAGGCCTTCTTCTAAAAAAGAACCCAGAATTTCGTTCTGAGCAGGTGCAAGGTGATAAGGAGCTAGAAAAAGTAGATTATCATCTATTAACTGGATATTATGTTCAGCATATACGGTTTTTTCTTTACTCTTTTTAAAAACTGTAGAATGTGTTTGAATTAACTGCTCCAATTAAAGTCTTTCTTTTTGGATTTAAATTTCATTTGGGAATTTGGATTTGGATACCATCAGAAGTTATGACTACATTGTTCTAGTCTTATTTTTAATTAGTTTAACTTAACAGTCAATAGTTTAAGGCGTGTTCACATATATTCTTCTTGTTACAAGTTGTTTTATTTTTATTTTAAAGCATAGAGTTATATACATGATACTTGTTAGAATTTCCACACTGTATGATACGGAACTGATCAAGACCTAGATCAAGTAAAACTGTGGGTCAGTGATGCATATACTATTAAACATTTAAAGGATTTAATTCGTTGCTCTGCATGTTGCAAGTAAATAATTTGGGAGAGAAATGCCTTCAACAGACGGAATTTGATATTTCTATGTACACTGATTACTTCACTTTCAGGCAAGGATTTAGAATGCAGTGGTGTATCGAGTTAACCGATATTTAATTTTGCAAGTATGTGTGTAAATTTATATTTAATTATAAGCATATAATTACTTGTAATTCAATATAATAATTAAAATATATTATATATAATTAACTAAACATTTAATATATAATTTTTAAATCTATTTCATTGTGGCATATTTTATTAGCCGATAATCTCAAAAAACTCTATTTCTAAAATGAATATCGTGCATAAAATGATTTTCAGTTCGTTACATCGTAACTTCAAGTTTTTAAACCGCAAGGCGGAGATTCCTTATCATCCATTTATTCTGACATTTTTCCATGTCAGAATTTTTACTTTTTACTTTTTATGCGCTTTGCGGAGACTCCTAATGAAGTATAATCTGATACGTTTTAGGCGTAGGTAGCAATTTTCGCTCTTGGATCTAATTAGATGATTCTTAAATTTTTTAAAAATTTGGTTACGTTGGCGCGAAATCTAATTTTACGTTACTGTAAGATTTGTACAAAAAATTATTTGATATAATTATTTTATGTACTCAAGTTTTTTATTACTACTTTCATTCACAGAAATCAAGCGAACACGTAATTTTTTCATTTTTATAGTTGTTGAGAGAATTTAAGAATTTGGGAATTTCTTATAAGATTAGTAAATATCATTCTCAAGAATAGAAAAAAACACAAGGAATATTATAATTGTGGATATTCGTCAGATAAATTATTATTATGCCTTGAGAATACGTAAACATTTAACTACTAATTACTATTAACACTAATTTTTTTTGAACGTGATCACCTCAAATCTTTTTATAAAATTTATCATAAATATAACCTACATTAATATAAAACAAATGGTTCGTAATTTATACGTATATATTATATCGTAAGTTTATACCCGTGACAGTTCATTCGGTTATAGTTAATCATAAATAGCAAAGTCACTAAACTGAATGTTGTAAATCAACTTCTTACGATTTAGGTATCGAAGTTGAGCTTTAGTCAATAAAATTTATAGTTACTCACAATATAGTAGACAACAGGTGGACACAGAAAATGGCATTACGGCCTCAGTAAAGGCACTTGATACTTGGTTCCAGCAACAGGTAGGTACAGCAATGAATTACGGTCTTCAATCTGCAATCCCTCGAATTGATTGAGGCAGACGAAAAGAGAAACAGCCAGACAGGAACAGCACAGGTAGTAGTAAGTAGTAGAGATAAATGAAGAGACAAATGAACGTAGAGACGAATGAAGGCGTCGAACAGCAGAGACGAATGAAGGTAGAGATGAATGATCGGCAAACAGAAGTGACTTCGTTCCTTCGAATTGGAAGACGTTTGTTTGACAAAGGAGAAAATAGTTAATATAGGACTCACTGTGGGAAGATATTTTATATAGATAAGGGTAGATTGAAAATACACTTACGGTCGTGTGATCGAGACAAACCGCTTTGACAGGAACCAACTCGAAAATGAATTCGAATTCTGATCTTAGGCAAGCTAAAGATAAAAAAGGAGTAGGAGTATTGGCTGAAAAGTGCCACGCAAAATTGATATTTAAATAGCAAGGCTAGTGTGGTCATTTTTGTAACCTAACCACTTTGTCCCGACAGCAATTATACTTTCACCGAAAACCAAGTCTTAGTCTTTTCTGAGAAGGTAGACCGGGTATATCACAATAGGCACTGATTCGTTTGTTACTAGAAAAGATTTCTATTTAGCAAAGGATAGATAAAAAGAACATAGAACATTTGGCGAAATATTTAATTGTTAAAAAAAAGCGTAAGAAATCGCTCATTACTCTTGGATTATTGTTAAGACTTTTAACAAAATATATAGACATATGCGGCGTGAAAGTAATTTTCTAAGGGGAATAATTTAAAGAAATTTTAAACATGCTTCAATAAAAACAAACATAGAAAACTCATCCCTTGTTACTATCTCCTCTGAGAACGATATATACCTATTGTTACATAAATCCGCAGCATCACTATCATTAACCTGTATAAATCACCAGGTAATTAATGGCCAACTCACGCTCTAGAAACTCAGCTCCACTAAGCGCTGAATATAGGCGACTTCAATAGTCATCACGAGTAGTGGAAATATAGGGAGAATGATATAAATAGGGATGCATTAGTACAATGGATTAAAGAGCATTTATATCTCATTTTTAATGCCAAAGACAAGGCACATTTAAATCAGCTGCATGGATTAAATCCCGAGTAACAACTCCCCTCTGTAGATACAAGAAGTGTTCTCTAAAATATTAAACACAGCCAACATCGTTTAGTGATTGTAGACCTTGGCATAGAATTTTCACTAATCAAATCAATTGCACGATCAAGATGGAACTTTATACAAGCAAACTGGGGAAAGTTAGCTCCTGACCTTGATACGTGCCTGAATTGAATACGTCCTGTCAGTACGAACTATGCTCGTTTTGTCGAAGCTGTGATAAGTACATCCAAGAAGAGCATGCCTAGAGGTTATCTAAAAGAATATATTTCGGGATGGTGTCAAAATAGTGATATATTACATCAGAATTTTTTTGAAACTGCAGACCAAGAGATCGTATATGAAGTTATTCATGGTCTAAACGCAGCATAGCACCAAAAACGGACTAGACAGTATAAAACTTAAAGTTTTATTAATCAAGTCAGACAGCTTGGGTTCTAATAACGAAAATTGGAGATGATAAAAGCATGCAACAATGGGAAACACCTATAAATTCAAACTCAGTGCATCTCATATTGTTTTGACATTGCCAGCGACCAGATATAGACATAAGTAAAGAAATAGACATTGGCCTTGGTTTTTCCGGAAAAAGCTCCAGGTTTCGATGGCATCCAACCCGAATCTCTCCTCAATTGTTTGAAATACACGAAAACTTGGCTAGCTCTGTAACGATGTCATCGCCATCAGTTTACCTCTACTCTT